GCTGGTGGCTCGGCCTGAGGGGTATCTTTCCTCTGGTCCACAGGTTGCTCAGGAGGAAGTGCGTCTTTAGTCCCGTCGACTGGTTGCTCAGCCTGCACATCGCGCTGAACGACATCCGCTTTCTCTAAACCTGGATCTCAACCAATCACTTTGAAGAACCCGGATTGAATCACTCTTGTAACTCACTGGTAACCTCTGAAAATCTTAGCCCAACTTGCATATTAATGCAAGAACCACTGAGAGCCTGCGCCATGCGTATCCGCCATGCGCGCCCCCATGCGCTAAGCGTGGTAAGGGCTGGTACAAATGCTTTGGGGGTAGCTCACCCTAGCACTAATGATAATGTCCTTCTGACTTCGCTGTCATGTGAGCCATGTGAGCCATGTGAGCCAAACAACATCAGGGCAGGAACCAGAGTCTGCAGCAGCAGTCTCATGCTTTCTAGCTCTCTCTTGATGCCTTGCGCAAAAGCTCTGCCATTCTGATCCTGCGCCAGATTTCTGTCCCATCACGTTCTTTGGCTGGAGCCCAAGAGGCGCCATCCCACGACTCGACTCGGAAGCGTCCTTCCTGAAGCATCGTGGTCCAAAAGCAGAGAGGGCTGGATAGCTATGCTATTCTTCTGGCTAAGTTGAGGCCTTTCCAGCCTGGTTCTTCAAAAGCGATGGGTTGGGTCACCAAGGTTCGGGACTCCATAAAGGTTCAGGAACTGAAGAAGCTGGAGAGATGTTCATTCTCCAAACTCAAGGCCCATCGGTTCGTCACGCCGAAGAAACACCGCTTTGCGTCTGAACCCCCCAAGACCTTGGGCTGGACCCTGGATGGCTAGGGGCGCTGGGCCCTCACACGGTGTCATCAACATTGCAATAGGAGAAACCCCACAAATGACAGCAAACGAATAGGTACATGCATCCAGTGGATTGGAACCCCTTCTTTGGAGGGAGCACACGATATTTACTCACCCACTTGACATGGACCCATCAAACACATGCTGGCTTTTTTTCGCTTCCGGCAGCTTCTGCGCAAGCCCTGACTCACTAACATGGCCCCGAAAGGAAGACAGCCCATTCTCCCCATCGTCCACTAGACTCACTGGTCTGACTTTTCTCCTGCCTGCGAGTTCGCGCGAGCTGACTGGCCTCAGCAAGTGCCCATATGATGGGTCTGTATTAAAGTAGGGGAGATCCAATTTGACCCCTTGGAAGAAGGGAATTAGACAAACGCCCATTGTTGTGGGCCTCTGCGTTAAAATGCGCACCCCCCAAAAGAACATTCATATTGACTGTTGATTTGTAACCTCTCCCCGCTCCGGGGTATATTTTAAACTGTGCCATCCGTTGTTAATCAACAGTCAGCATTAATTATGAGTTCTGCTTTCGTAAAGGTGCGGTGACACCAAACACGGGTGGGCTTCGTCAAGCTGCCGCCTGACCAAACACGTTTGTAGCGGCGGGCCCCGTTACCTGATAGACAGTTCTGAGAACATCAGTTCCATATATAGATATATATATATATATAGATATATCTATAAGGCAGGAACCTGGAAGACAAGTTGTGCTCATATCAAAGTCTGGTTTTCATCTGTCTTCAAGTTCAAACTTCACATGATCCAACCCATTCATCTGTTCTTCCCTCTCTCTGAGACGGTCCCTCGAACGCCCAAACATGTCATCCGAAAATATCTTCAGCCCTTTCGGTCTCAGCAAAGGGCCTCGCTACTAGGAGCAAGGACGCATTATAAGCATTTATTCACTGCCAGTTGGGCCGTGAGAAACGATCGCAAGTGGCGGCTTTCTTCGATCGTTTTCACCCGTGAACGGAACTAATCCACCCACCGGAACCGGGCGTGTCCCGACACGCGGCCATCGAGTCCCCCGGCTCACGTCACGTGGGATGAGGTATCAAAGGGTGATCTGATGACCAGAATGAACATTCCAAGAGCATGTGGCACCAGGATGCCCAGTCCTTCAATGATTTGAAACCTCTTCAAACACCGTTCGCGAGCAACTCTTGCTGAAGGAAGTTGGAGAAACCAACGAACCAAACGAAAGAAATCGGCTTCTCTTTTTCGGGATTTCGCCGGTTCAATCTGCGGATTTCGCGGCCTCCGGCTCTTGGAGCTCCGGAGAAGAGACGAGTAACGTGGAGTAACGTGCGGAGCAGGGGCTACGGCAACACATTGAGCACCCCCCAAACTCCATGGAGATTACACAGTTAGATTCTAGAGACAGAATGAACATGTGGTGAACATGTGATGTGTGTTTTGTTTTTGCCATAATTAGGCCCTAAGTAGGCACAAGTTACTAGCTCTACACCACCACCCGTTGTTTGTATGTCTTGCTTGTCGCCACCGTTGGAGCCTTCGAGCCTTAGGGCTTGGCTAAAGACGCAAAACCCTCGTTGGATATGAACGAAAACGCGGAGCTTCATCAGCAAGGCACAAGCTGAAAACGAAAAACACGAAGCTAACTGCGGGACAGACTAGCAAGAGGCAAGAGGAATGTTGCAAAACTGATGAGTAATGCTGGTAGAATCTACTATGTCACACTATGTATATATATATATATACTGGGTAAGGGCAGGGGCCCATCAATTCTCTTGCATGTGGTGAACCTCCCCTTATTTATCAATTGTGATGCACCCATTATTTGCTTCCCAGAAATCTTCAAGAACATGTGTAAATAGAATGAGTTGAGCACGAATCAACAACGACTATTTAAGTATGAGGTACGGTATATATTCCCACTAGCACTAGGACAATCTTTATATTTATAGTGCCCACTAGCACTTGGGAGTTCTCTAATCTTTTCTGGAGAAAAGCAATGTGCTTCCTACCAATAGCACACATACGGACACACACAAAATACATGAACTGAACGGATAATCTAGAGGAGGCTGGTTGGTCAAAGTCCTCTTTTTTGGACCTGGGAATTCAAATCATTTGTCAAACCATGAATAGTAGTATATTGTATTTATAATCATATGTTAGCTTTTTCAATATCAAACGCACACTTACTAGTTACTACATGCCCGAATTCGATCAAGCAGAATCTCGTTGACAGGGACACGTCTTTCAGACCTAGACTTAAGTAGCAATACCCAAACGCTCTATGGGACTGCCATATTCACCTACATTGACCCCCAGTCAACCACCCTAATGTAGGCATATATGGCACTCCCATTAGTCACGTGTGGGAGAGGGTGAAGCAATATTCCACACGACGTACGATGCACCCGACCGTGGATGTCCCTGGCCTGACGTTCCTCCGACCGTGACCAACGTCGCGGTGGTGAACTTGATTCGGTCGTGGTCTCCCGGTGTCCGCTCAGGCCAAGCAGGCTACGATAGGAGATGTACACAAATGCAAATTCATCAAGATGTAGCGGGACAACGATATCAAGGGCCTCATCTCTCTCTACAATGAAAAATGTTGTAAAAACGTTGCTACCTCATCTCAAGGTAAAAATGTTGTCTACCTGTCGCTACGTCATGACGGTAGCGAGACAACGAGATATGACGGGCCATCGTCCCAAGGGCCTCTGAGGCGTCGTATGAGCGAGGCATTTTCAGGTGCGCCAAGGCCAAGGCGGACCGATTGGCGACTCACGAAAGCCACCAGGAGACCATCCACCATTAATTTCTTCCACATCCGGAGAGTATCATGAGACATCATGAGGCTATTTCCTGCGAGTGCTGAGACTATCCAGCCAAAAATAAGATCACAAGCCACCAGGAAACTCTCCGTGTACATGCGGAAGACATCCCAAAAACTTTTTTTCATGTCCATCCTCTATGGGAGGAAGCGCTTGATCTCTCGCAACACTTGGTACCTGAGCCCAATTCGGGACGGAGAATGCTTTTTCACGCACGCCGCAGCGCCGTTTCACGCGCCGAAGCGGCGGGGCGGTTGGGGCGTTTCACGCGTTGGGACCGTTGGGACTTCTCCGGCAAAATGAGGAGATCTGATAAGAAACCTACATCATCCTGCATTTTTTGGACATCCTCCTGCAAAGAATTATAGACCACCACGAATCAATGTAACTATAGAAAAAGGACCAAGCAACGATGGTGCAGTTCCCTAGTTTGCAAGATCTTCTAGTTTGGACTCTTCCAAACAGCTCCCCCAAAGCAAGAAAAACCTAGTCACTAGACAAAAACAACAGAATCCAAACCAAACACAAAGAAAAAGGTAACACAACAATCGAAACAAACATCCAAACCAAAACCACCACTCCAAAGCGTTGTTAACGGTCCCGTCCCGGGTGCAACTCGTCGTCCGAGCCGTCGCAGGTCATCCGTTCGAACAACGCGACTGAGCTGGTGAGCTTCGGAGCGTCGAAGGTGCCCATCAGCGACGCCACAGCGCGACCGGCCTTCAGCTGGTCCCGCACAGCGGTCATGATCTTCAAATAATTCTCCTTAGGGGAAAACAACAGGACGCATGCCGCAGCGATGGAAGGTGGGTTGGCAGGATGGTTGGATCAAAATAAGACCAGGTTCGAAATCAAAGCAGGTTTGCAGGATTTTGCAGGTGTCTTTCTTTTGGATGTTTTTATATTTTAGATGGTCATTGTCCGACGGGGTGTTGGTCCTTCTTTTGACATCGTCGACATCTTTGCAGATGTCTTGCAGACGAAGAGTGTTCGATCATATATAAAGAAAACCCCATCAATTGTGTTCGTTTGGTCGTCTCGGGTTCGTCGGAGGATCCTCCCGTCACTCCCTCCAGGTCGGTGGAGTCCACCGAGTCGACACCCCAACACTGGGGGGTTGGGTCGGCGGGTTGGGTCGGCGCCGGCAGGCTCGACCGGCACGTGAAACGGTGGCCAACAACGGAGGCCCAACGGAAAACACCAAACACTCCATGGGACGGGCATCACAGGATCCTCTTTGTAAACGGGGGGGAACCACGCCAGGGGGCAGCATACCTGGATCTTCCTGCAGATTCTTCGGCCTCATCCAATAAGACCCAGCCCAGTTTGGCAGCATCCCTTGGCACGATCTTGGAAGATCTAGCATAGATCTGGCTGTTTTTCCACCTATCCAGGTGCCCCAGTTCTGCGTAGCGTCCGAAAATTCCGTCCCAAGGCGGATGGCCGGCTGTGGCGGCGTGTCCCTGAAAAACCACGGCGTCGTCCTACCACACCCGTCATCCAAGTGTCTCGCAGGTTCACGCCGTCCGCCTCAAAACTCAAGAAGGCCTTCGCCTCCTCGTCCCGCAAGGCGAACCTCCGCCCCGCGCTCGAACGGAGCGAACGGTTTCGGGGCATTTATTCTCGGCAGAAATGGGGCCTTTTGTTTGGGTGAGCATTGTTCTCGGCAGATTTGAGCATCTGTTGGTATTCAGCGGGGGGTGGGCCTCGTGTTTCAGAACTCTGTAGGGCGGCTGAGTGCGCAACTTGAATTGAAGCAGTGAATCAGGCTGAACGTTTTGAACGAAACACTTCATATTTACACAATGTTATATAATCCGCCGACCCCACTCGTGGGGTCAGGCGTGACTGTTGATTAAGGCTAAAGGCTATGATTAAGGCTATACCTCCCCTACCCCTCCGGAGCTTTGTTGCAGTGACGAAAAGTAGCCAAAAATTGACCAAGATTTCTCCATCCCAATTGATTTACATCTTGGGGCACCCTCTCCACCCGCGGGGGAAAATCAGATAAAATAAGCACGGTCCCTAAATGGTCCCGGGCTCGAATCCCGGCCTGGTCCCTGCCAGTGCCCTTGGTTTTTCCTAGATTTTGTAACGTTTTCCGCTGGATTGCTAGGATTTTCAAAGGTTTTTGTAAGATTTACTCGTGCCTTTTTCGAGGGTTTTTCCATGATTTTCTATGGTTTTTCTAGGAAGTTCTGTGGTTTCCTGAGATTTTCCACTCTTTTTTCTAAGGTGTTTTCGAGGGTTTTTTTTAGGAGTTTCTCCTCTATGCGCTCCGCACGTGCAAGCTTTTTCTGCTCTTTTCTAGTGCTGTGCTCGCATTCTGCAAGTGTGCCGGTGGAGGCTTTTGGGTTCCCAGATTTTCCAAGAAACATGCTAACCCATTTGCCGTGCTCGCATTCTGCAAGTGTGCCGGTGGAGGCTTTTGGGTTCCCAGATTTTCAAAGAAAAATGCTAACCCATTTGCCGTGCTCGATTTTTCGAAAAAACTCTTAACCCATTAAACCTAGGCCATCCACTTCCCTGGGGGTCGGCGGCTGCCAGGCGCTAGCCTGGTTAAATATAGATATACATATAAATATTACATATTATATACACATAGTTAGTTATAGTTATATGATATATGATATACATACATAAATGTAACTATATATATATATATATTGTAATATACTGTTATATATGTAACAATTGTAACATTATGGTGTAACAATGTAATGAGCATATTCAGTCTCTATGGACTTTCACTCCTTTGCTGTGCTTCTGTCAAACAACAAGTTATTTTTTTTATCACAGGTACCGCCTGCGGTTTGCTGGTCCCAGGCACTTTCGGTTCATAGAGCTTCCCCTCTCCACACCATTCACAATATGCGGAGGAGTTGGGATCACGAACCACATCCAACAGGAGGACTTGCGACCCTGATGGATCTCGTGCAGAGCTCGATCCTGATGATCTACTGAATTTGGCTGGCTGGCTGTGCTGTGGAATCAACCCACACATTGGGGAGCGAGCAAAAACAACACAAACACATGTGGCAAAAACAGCAGAATTTGATTGCCCAAAACATACTGAAGTGACTTCAAGACTCAAAGGTCTCTTTCTGCGCTTCAGTGAAGCGTTCTAGTCCTTTGGCCTCCCTTCCTCCGCCTCCGCCGGCTCCGCCGGCTCGTGGCCGCGGCCGGCTCCGCGGCAACTCCGCCGCGTCCCGGCTGGCGGCGCGGCACTTCGCCGCGGCGACCAAGCGCAGCGGCTTCGGCACCGCGGGCGCAGGCATCCTGACAGCGAGGGGTGGGGCCACCGGAAGTGACCGGAGGAGATGGGCCCATTTCCAGTCGCATTTGGAGCCAATTCCATACGAGGTGAGGTGAGGGGTTTGAGGCTACTCCGAACTCACATGGAAGTGGAACACCTCCGGTTTTGCATTCGGAAGATGGTCTTCCAATCAGCCTTGCCACTTCCATGTGAGTTCCAAGGAGTGAAACGCCGATCGATGGGAGGGAGGAAGGTCTTCCACTGTGGATCTTTTTGCCAACCCAACGTTCCAACCTGCTGGAGTCGCGGGGTGTGGAAGTTTCGAGTGAACTCTCATTCCACAGATCCATCGATGATCCATCATGATCCATCTCACCTTGACCCCCAAAAATAACCCAAGATGGCTGGTGGGTTGTAACTGTTGATTCCTGAACCGGTTGCCACCAATCCAGTTACCCGGAGCCACTCCGACAGCGGTTCCCGGCCACTCCCGGAGTGTAGGCGACTTCGCCGGAAACGGCCGACAGTGGAGCTCTGTCCTTGGAGAGAGACTTGGCACTGCATCCTGAGAGGGAGCTGGCGCATCATGTCCGACGGTCATCTGCCGTGGTCGCAGGATACCTGACAGGTGAGAACCCAATCAGGTTGGGAACATCAAGCAATCAGCTGAGATCCCCTCTCCCGAATGCAAACAACAAGGAAACCAACATCCCGAAGGACAACCATCAAGAAAACCTTTTGAAGGTTCCAGCCGAAGCTGCGCGTGTGCGGTCTTGAATTGCTGCGCAGCATCTTGATGTCTAATAGCCGTGCCGCAGACATCTCGCTCGTAGGCCTTAAGGAGCTCAAGGACAAACTCCTTTGAGCTTTGTCCTTCCGATGCGCCCGACTGGCTGCGTTGCCGGGCCCGTACTGTGGACTCAGAATGGCACCACTGATAGTACTGCGCAGGGCCTGGGGGTAGCCGCTCATAGCATGGCAGCTGTGAGAAAAAAGGTAAGCTCACATGTAGGAGTCCTCCAGCTTGTACGAAGAGGATGAGTGGAGTTGTTTGGGAACTGTTGTGTTCAGATTATGTGGAAAATCTGAAGTGTAGCATGGTGAGCAATCCTTTTTGTCAGAGCCAAAAGCAGGAAAGGATCAGCCAATTTGCCAAAAATGAACAGCAGCCACAGCAGCACATGCATCACAAAAGCAAGGGTCGCGCGTGATGAGACTTTTCCATCAATTTCCGTGTCTTGCATGCGTTTCATCACCAACTCGAAGGACAAAACATGACAAAACAGGATCTTGCACATTCTTTGCCCTTCTTCTCTGGAACATTGGTGTTCTGCAGCCCCGCTTCGCCGCGCGACGACGCGACCGCTACGGTGCCGGGCCACCCAACGGTCAGGAGGTTTCAAGGCTCCCCCCGCCCCACACGGGGAAGAGTGTTCAGCTGTGCTATGCTGTGCTGATGTCTCTGAAAAGGCAAAGTGGAACAGTTGGGAACTGTGAGTCTCTGAATCTGCGAGATGATTTGAGGAGTTCAATCTCACACCTGCTGGGTGTTAACTGTTAGGAAGAGGTTTGAGCCAACACGCAAGCTCAAATTGAGGCCTTTACCTCCGCCTGAAGGACATGTGTTTCTGGCTTTCAAATATTGGTGAGTGCGATTGCAGGCTGGCCTGACAGAATGCTGACCGCCTCCAGGGCCTAGATTGCGAACAACACAACACTTGGTGAAAACGCCCGGCAGGCGGCCTTTATCACAAATGGCCCAAAACGAGTAATCCATGACGAAGTCGAACACCGCCATGTGCACATATATGTACTGTGCTCCTGTGCTCCTGTCCTGTCCTCCCAGCCAACCTCCCCTCCCCACCCAAACCGACGATCGCCTGTGGGAAGTCAAAGGTGCTATCGCCCAGCGATGGTGCCCAGCTCAACTGTCCGGTGAGGGCGATCGATCTAGGCAGGGCAAGGCCTGAATAGGCCTAAAAACCAGATGCCCAGAAGTTCTCAGAAGTCCCAAGACGCACCACCCAAGTGAAGGAAAGTCTCCCAACGACTGTCTTTAGTCTTGGACCTCCAGGGTGTAACATACATAAGTACGGGAAGAGTGTCTTTTTGATGGAAAATGTTTCGATTCTTCAATCTGGTTCGCATAATCAATTGCCAGACACGGTTTTCCAACTCTAGAACCCTAACTTAAGATCTCCAAGTGAGTTCTTAGTGGACATGTGCCTATCCTATCGCTGCAATGCTGGATATGTCGACGCCCACACCCTGAAAAAATGGTCTCATGGGTCGGCTATGGGCTGGTTGTCTGCCGATCTGCTGATCTTGGGATCGCAGGTCTGCAGAGTTTTGTGCACCGATTGCGGTGCCAGAAGAAAACACACCACCCGACTGCCCATGGTGTTCAATGGCTTTCTCTGATGATCTTTCTGACTGACCACTATGACTGATGTGACTTCTCAATTGTAAGTGGTGTCAAAAAGGATTCAAACACACTGAATCACTGAAACCTAATTGTAGATTGTAGATCAACTAATCAAACCCTCCTAGCTGGATAGTCTTTCACATCGTCAACCTTCTACGGACATGCGTTGGGCTCATCAACGAATCTACAGAACCGACCCATGAGCCCAAATCGATTCAACTCCCCAACCCTTTGTGCCCTACAGGTGGTGGCCTCATCCCGGCTCCTCGAGACAGTGCGGCCCAAATTGCACGCGCTGCGTGCAGCGCCCGTAGCCGCGTCGGCGCCGGCGTGCGCGTCACGAACCCAGTCGGCCAACCTCGGGGCTGCCAAAAAATGAGCAAATTACTCTATCTATTTCGAGTGATCCCCACCGTGACATTTCAATCTCTGACATTATTTTGGCATTCTTTCCGGCATATCTTCTGACATTCATTCCGGCATATCTTTTGGCATTCTTTCTGTTATATCTTCTGACATTCTTTCTGCAATTTTTTAACATAATTCTTTCTGGCGTTCTATCTGGCATATCTTTTGACTCGCGGTTGAGGTCCGGCGGGGAACGTTGCCATCCGGAGCTGGCGGTTGAGGTCCAGCGGGGAACACTGCCATCTGGAGCTGGCGGTTGAGGTCCGGCGGGGAACACTGCGAGGAGGAGGAGGAGGCGGAGGAGCAGGGGGCGGAGGACGAGGAGGACGGCAGCTGACATAAAATATAGCAACATCTCACAACCCTCACCTGACAGGTGGGGAAAGACACACGGCTGACACGGCTGCTGATTCTCCCAGTAGCATTTTTTGGGCTGCGCAGTTCCATTTGTATAACTTTAAACTTTAGACAGATTGATAATTTTCCTCGTCTCAAAAATGGTGTGGGAAAAATATGGGGGTTGGGCCGAAAGCATAAACAACCCGCAACGCAGTTCGGCTCCCAAAAGGAATCGAAACAACTACCGCAGTACTTGCTTGGCCCCTGCAACGGCTGAAGCAGGGCTTCTTCTTCATCATGGGGCATGTTGCGCCGGGTAGGGCATGTCTTCCAAAGGACGAAAAAATGGAGCTGGTAGGTTCTTTTTCCACCCCAAACTGAAGCCTAAACGCGTGGCCACATGAAAGGAAGCCTGTATTTACCGAAGCCCCTGAAACAGCCAAACATTTTACATTCAGAACCATCGGCAATTTCCATACTTTTTTTCAACTTTTTCCATGATTTCCGTCATTTGGACTGTAACTTCCGCAATTGCTTTTCGGCCACCACTGCATGAAAGTTGAAATGTGCACAGGAAAAAAGGGAAATCTCAGCGATTCCACATGGAGCTTGGCTCCATTTTCCCAAGCCCCAAGCAGTTCCCTATTCATTTTTTGAATGGTCACCGCAGCTTCTCCAAACCTTTCAGGGAAGATGGAATCAAGGCTTTCCACAACACAGGCAGTTGGGCTAGTTTGCTGCATCTCAAACACAGCATTGCTCTCAGTGAAATTGGCTTCAGGCTTCAGTCCAGTTGATTTCTAGCGCCTTCTCTTCGAAGTTCTTTGAGGACAAAGGCAGGACAGCTTTTCAATGTCTTTAAGTCTTGGCCACTCTACTCATGACTAAAACATCTAAAACCTATTTAGATCTACATAAGATATGGCTCGCCCACTTTGAAATGGTTTCGATGGTGGTCCGCATCTCCAAAGCAATCTATGCAAAACGAGAAAGTTGCAACATGCACACAGGGGCAATTTAGTGATCCAAAAATATCATCCAAACGCCCTTTGGTGATTGCGACATCCCCCAAGTACGCTCTCACTCCCATGGCGCCCATTCTTTTGCCCACAACTCCAGATTGGAGATCTCAGGCAGGATGATCCCATGAGATCTCAAACAAACAGCGATAAGTATGCTACAGGTACGCCAAAACCAAAATTGTTACACTAAAAACACCTATTTCATCATATTTTTCGACAAACAAACGGTTTCTTTCGGACATGCCCTGTTCTTTTCCCATACTGTTTACCCTCAGGTACCCCACGGATGTGGAAGGGGATGGCCGGAGCGGACCATGTTTTCTGGCATCATTACTTCAGGGATCTTCAGGGTATCTTTTAGGTTGACTAGGTGCAATGGAACAATCTCTCCCACTTCGGCGGTTTCGTCCTCCCACTTCGATCCAAGTGGCGCTCCCGCGACTAGGGCCTCGACCTGCGGTTGGCGGACGCGACGCGGGTGGGTCCACGCAGACTGGACGGGGAACTGGGGAGTGCCACGCAAACACGAACTAGACACGAACGAAGCGGGAAGTGGTACTCCTTTTCGTTTTAAGAAGTTGGGGCCGCTTAAGCCTCGTTTCCCAGAATCCAGCATTCACAGTCGAACACACCGAAAAGGTGTGTCTCCATAATGAGCGCTCAAGACTCCACAACCCCCCAGAACCCCAAAAAAACATCTTCTGCAAGTACTCCAAGGGCCTTGTCCGGGGGCCCTGGCTGCACTAGCTGTCAAATGCCGTCCATTCCCCATCTCTGCTTCTACAGTCCAACACCTGCCAAGCCGCCCCAGTGCGACCAACCCGCTGCGCACCTCTGGGCGGCTGAGCTTCTGGGATTCAAAGGATTTCAGCTCCTGGCGCCGTAAGATGATCTCAAAGCCGTTTGGATTGACCCTAGATCCAAGCAGTTTTGGGGCTCCATGAGGTTCCATGTTCAGCTCCATGAGGTTCCATGGAGGGGAAGCTGTTCCGTGCACAGTCATGAGGGGAAGCTGAGGGGCTGCGACCGAGAGGGCGAAGCAAACGGCGAGAGCGCGGCGAATGGTGAAGATGCGCCAGTCGTGCTCAATGCTCTGAAAACGACAGAACCTCGGTGACGACTTCTCAACAATTCAACACTATCACTATAGGTCTAAGTACAGAACACCGATGAGGGGTGCTGTTCAAGGCTCCTGATCAATCGACTTCCCATTCCATGCCAAGGTACTGGGCCCATACAAGAAAAGCATCTATGCCAGCACACTTCGACCTATCCATTTACATCCATTTACTGACCGCACCGGTGTCCCGGTGTCCGACGATCACTTCATGGGCTCATTGGATCCTTCCATCAGCCCGGCTATCCTGCTGGAGCTCATCTGTGTTGGAGGAGAGCCGCTGCTGCTTCCTGCAGATCTCCTGCACCAGTGGTTTGGAAGATCATCGTTTGTCCACTCTTGCCATTCGTGCACTCTCCACCCGAATCACAGGTTCGAATCAGCACCCAAAGAAAGTCCTCCATGCGTCGTTCGCACCTCGATTCGGGCACATCGTCAACCCCAAATCCATCCCAATCATTCCCAATCCCAACTTGAACTTCTTCCATCCTCTTCCCATCTAAGAAGCTACGAGTTCGGGGGGAAACTGGCCTCACTAGGAGCGATCGAAAGCTACGAACGGGGCGAAACTGGCCTTGCTACTAGGAACACGGACGCTACTCTAGGAGCTTGGCTTCGAACAACACAATCCTCGTCTTTTGCGGCACCGGGTCAGTCTGCGCGGTGAAACGCGCTCCGCGTGGCCGGGGGCCTCTTCCGAGGCCGGTGAAACGGTCTTCAGGCCGCGGCCGAGTGTTCCGGCCCTGCGCGCGGGGCCAGGTGACTACCATCCCAGCCATGCAGGATTTGCTTCATCGAACACGTGGTGCGAAGCTGATCTGAAGATGTGCTGCATGAATGATGCTCTGGGCCTCTAAGAACCTGAAATAAGAGGGTGATCCCTCCACGAGGGGCGCATGATGGCCCCTTGGCTACAGTTCTGATTCCACAGGTTCTCTTGGTGGATGGGTCCATTGATTTCTGAATGCTCCAATTCCAGCATGAACACCATTTCGAGTGAACAATGCCTTGGACGGAACCTGGCGCCATGACACCAACACCGCTGTTTGGTCGATTTCGCGCGCCTCACTGACCTCTCATGGACCCGGCTGCTGTTGGTCGATTGCCGTGTGAGGCCCAAATATCTGCGGACATGCTGTTCCTTGGTCCAAAAGGCTCCGCGTTCAACGCGGTGGAAGGACTGGAGGACCCGTCGTTCGACTGCGACCGGGGACATCGATATGAAGAACAAACCCTTGGACTTGGATCCTTTGTGCATTTGAGAACCTCCTGTGACCATACGGTCATTCATCCGCTGCCTCCTGTGAACAGCACCCTTCACTTCTTCAGCCCTTCACCGTTCAGATCCGTGACGTGGGTCGTGGTCGTGGTCGTGACGAGCGGAATTCCGCGCTTTCAGATTGACCTTCCCAAACACTCCATGGGACTGGCATATTTACATACATTGACCCCCAAAAGCACCCCAATGTAGGTAAATATGCCATACATGGAGTTTTTGGGCTTTATTCTTTCTTCGGATCCCGGAGCATTACTAATAAGAACTCCTGATAAAGCGTCTAAGACGGCCAGGAGCACTACTAACAAGAAACCCAGATCAAGCGCCTGCGACCGCCAACGTCAGCATCACATGGGAGGGAAATGAATGCAGTGCCACAGCGACGCACAACTTGTAGCCTTCGGTCGTGCTGTCCAAGTCGCCGGATGTTGTCCACCTGCGACAGGGCTCGTCACGGATCTGTCTGGAACACTCCCAGGGGCGTCGTTGGGTCGTTGGGTTCCTTCCGGGTAGCAATGACCAAGCGACCCCAGGAGGGAGCCCCTCGTGGACATGTTTTGGTGCGGCTTGTGTGCAGCTTTTTCAGAAAAAAACGACTGGAACATGGACCTCTAAATCCTGCAAGAAAACACCATGGTCCACTGCAAGAAGCCCGTGGACTTCGGGTTCCAAAATCAGGGCCGGACATTGGGACGCGGCAGGTCTGGATGCTTGGGAAGGAAGGACGCCGTCCGAGGTGATGTCTGGAACGAACTTCTCCTCACTCCCTCCGTTCCACGGTCTGTGAAGATCCTTCGTATACCACATGTACAGTATACCATCAGCCTCCTCCACGTGCTTTCTCAGCGAACGGACATGAAAGGGAAAACTGAAACCACAGCTCTTCACCCCTGCCCGCCGCAGGGCCTTTTCTGGCGAAGCATGTCGGTTGACAGTCTACTGTCTTCCGGGCAGAAACCAATGACCCAAAGCATACGATGCTAACTTGAAATTGAGACATCCAAGAGTCACGGATTCAGCGAATTCGATGCAAAGCTCAGGTTCGTGCCGTGCATATCATCACCGTGAGAGGAAGGTTTTTCTCACCGTCGGCATCCTTCCAATCTCATAATTCTTCGAGGCCCTGCTTCCGGTTCATTAACCAGAAAAAGACACATCTGATTCCTTTTGCTTCATGCTTTTGGATTTTTAGAAACTCCAAGGGCCCCAAAGGCACGGAGTTGTTCGCTCCGGCACGGGAATATCCCAAACGCAACAGAGTCCTTTGCGACCTGCTAAAGGACGATTCCACAAGTGAAAGATCCTTCACACGCGACCGACCTGCTGTCGCAAGCGCAACAAATCCTTCTGCGCAGAACGGTTCTGCGGGTCCAAACGCACAGCATCTTCCAGGGACCTGCACAGCTGGAGCGCCCGCCCAGTAGGGCGGAAGAAAAGAAAAGAGCTGCATTTCTGCATATGGGGTATGTCTTGTTAAACATGCAAGAACAAACACAAAAAGCAAAAGCATGACATACAGAAAGTAAGGGCCGCTTTTTGAAGGGCCGCTCTGACTCTTCTTCTTCTGAAATCCTCCGTGTTCGTCGCCTGAAATCCTGGTGGCCCTATGAATACATATTGGCATATATATATATATATATCGTGGTACAGCATGTGCAGCATGTTGGTGTACACTATAGCATTTATTCATTGTATCCCCCCTCTACCTCCTCTCGCGCTCTCTCTCTCTCTCTGCCTATCCCCGTTGACTTTGTGCATTGTATGGTGCAAGGCATCTTCCATCCCTCAATTAGCTTTACCAGTCTTGGTCAAGAAGACAAAATAGCAGCAACATGTCCCAAATCTATTGCCGCAATGGCAAAGGACGCCCTAAACCCTGTCGACGGAGATGGCCATGTCCCACAAGGACTGCCTGGTAAACAATGACATGTCAACTGGTGAACCAACTGGTAAGTCTGCAAAAGAAACGTTAGTTAAATGGCAACTCTTGATGATCGTCTCAGAGTCATTCAACATAGTTCAACTCCCTATTAGATGAAACGGTTTTTCAATCCAAATGAGGCTTGATTCATCAAGAGTCCACGGTTGCTAGGGTTGGTGTGTAGTTTTCCTCAGGCACCGATTTTGATCTCATTCTACCCATTTTTGAGTGACTCATAGGACAAAGCCTGAGCCAAAAAATACAACAAGTAAATATTAATAGGTAAATAAGTGGGTGGCAAATGGGTAATAACAAACTCCAATGAAATGCCTAGTTGTAACATGTTGTAACTGTGTATCGGCCAAAAGACTCACACACTTCTCCTTGAAACTCCTAGAAGCCCTTCTTGATTGATCGTTGTTTGCCGGTTTGCCCCAACCATCTCACATCTTTTCACGTGTTGCATTTGAACCCATGCGACTTGCCATGCTACCCCAACCACTCACTTCGGACCTTCGGTCTTCACGGCTTCTCACCACTCACTCTCTCTCTCTCTCTCGCTCGCTCGCGAAGCTCTTCGGAACATTCGTCCACCTGACAGCACCTTCAAAGTCCCCCAAGTCAGCTTGGCACTCCCCGAGCAAGGCCAGTGCACAGGGATCCTCAGCATTGATCTGCAGCAGCTTTTGAAACCTCGCGCGGCACGCGGGTCGGCGCCAGGAAAGCAGGACCACAGGAGGGCTCCTCCGCCCCCGCCTTCTAACGCTTAAGGGGCTTCCAGCTGGCAAAGCTTCGGCTAAAGGTGGACTCGATTTGAAAGCAACTTGAACTTGCTTGTTGAAACTCCACTGGTGATTCCAGCAGATCATGGCACTGATCATGGCTTATCAAAGGACATTGACCTCTGTTGAAGAGAGCACGAACCCCCCCTGCCCATGAAGTGGCCGTCCCTCTTCCCAGTCGTCCTGCGTGCAACGAGCACTCCCCATAACTCCTTCTCTCCAAGCCACTGCTCAGCTGCACGACGCGTCTCGCCCAGCTCCTTGTGGACGATGCCCAGGTTGAAGAGTGCCCCCAAGAATCGGGGATTTTGCTGCCTCGAAACCGGCCCCTTTTCCGTCCGGGCTCGGTCCCAGGTCGGTCCGTCAGTCGACTGTTGGGCCATGGTATGCAGGTGGGTCATGTTTCGGGAGATTCCAAAAGGAGTGCGACCATTTTTGGGGCCGATTTCGGAGTGCAACGCCCCCGAAATCGGTTCTTGGCAGAAAGGAGTGCAGAAAGAAACCACCGTGGGCCTTCGCGTCGGGGGCGCAAGGTCTTCCCCCCCACGTCGTCCTTGTTTGCCGAGAATCCGTCGCCAAGCAAAAGTGATCCAATCGAAAGCAAGATTCTCTATCTATAGATTGTACACTTGAAATCACCTAGAGATTCCACGAGTTACACTACCTGAAATCATCACGGACATGAACAACCACCTGTTTGTAGCGGAAAATCGTCATCCAAGGGGTCATGCCATCCACTTCCATGATGATTTCCGGGAGTGTAGGTGAGGATAATCATAAGCGGTGGCATTCTTGCACATCCACAACACCATCAATGCCGCCCACAACTGGTCGTCTAAGACTTGAGGTGCACATCACCTGAACACACCAGGAAACTAACACTAACATAGACCCTGAACAAACCACATTGGTGCCACATTTTCAAAGGTTGTTCCTCTGTAATCATCGATGGTCTTCAGGTTCTACTGAAACTCGACAGGCAACTGAGCGATCGTTTTTTTTTGTTCTTTTACTCTTTGACTTCCATGATCTTCCATGTTTGTATGGATTTCATTAATATCAGCGGAACCTCGATTTTGCATACTCAGCTTCCATGTCAGTGAAAAAAAACCGCTGGAAAACACAAATTCTACACTAGCATGACCTCTAGAAATGAATGACCTACTGCCAAAACACGTTCTTTTCTTTGAGATGCAGCTTCCAAGGTAGTGACCCGGAGTTCTATGATGTTCGAATTGATTGACGGGTGAGAAGGCAGGGAACCAGGGCTTTCCTCTCAGTCGTCAGATAGCTTAGGAGTCGCACATCCTCACCGGAAGGGGGTCGGCCCAACCATCAGCTGGTCCAGGATGCAAGGCCGCGGTGAAGGACTGCGCCGCTTGCTTCAGCTGCTTTTGCTGCTGAAGCACCACCCCCTGGAAGGGGACGGTCTATTGTGGTGACCGGGGTGGTTGGAATCAGCGAACGGGACGAACATGATGGAAGCGGAAAACGGCAGCAAGAACGACTGAGCCAGCGCCAAAAAGTGCGAACTAGTAGTTAGTTAACATGTGTGTGTGAAAGGATTAATGTACATCCGGATGTTCATTAACAACATGAAGGGCCCGAGTGATGCCCTTCTGGTGCATTACCAACGACGACAATGAAGAGGACCGAACAAAACAATGACAATGACCACATCAGCGGATCACAACTAAAACCCAGAAAAACCCAATGAAACCACCAGCATATCGTCCATGAACAGTGACAAAACGGAGAAGTTTGCTCTGCCTGACGGTAGCAGTACTGAGCATTGTGAGGCTCAAGGGAAAGCGCCCTGGTGAAAAGGTACTCTGCGCCGGAGAGCTGCCCATGTGCCAGCAAGAACTGCCCGAACTCATCACAAAGGCTTGGGCTGTTCCTGACTAGGGTTGTGGATTGGACAAAAACGATCCATACCCTCATCTGTTGGGGGTACTGCAACAGGGACACAATTCCAACAAATTGCAACAAGACAAGTTTTTCTGTATCTGAACAAATTGCATGTAATCAAACTACTGCTATAGAGAGTACAAGCATTCACATTCCTGGCTGGCTACACATCAAACAATGTGTTCCCTTGCAAGGGTAGACATGCTGCCAAAAACATTCTCCAAGAGCAACAAGCCGATGCACTGGGTCTTTGGATGACCTGCAGGACGCACTTTGGGGTTGCAAGTTGCATTAGCAAGCTTGAGAACTCCGGGCACTACAAGCTGAGCTGGAAACACATCCCAAAACCAACATCCCCATCTAGCAATTAACATCGACAATATAATATGGCAATGAAACATTGAAGTACATCAGTGCATCATTACCCAACACGACACATGACACTGCCTGGGACTGCCGCCCCAACCCGCAGGTCAACCACCCCTGGCTTGATCGGCAGTCCGGACTGGCAGTCCCATGAGTCGTACTGAGTCGCGTCTGGGGATGCTTGTTGAGACATGCCCAGAGGTGCACGGAGACATGCCGCTGTCTGTTGAAGCTAGGGGGCCTCCTACTTGGGCCGCCGAGCTTCTCATCCCAATCCAATGCCTGTGAGTACGCGATGAGCGCCTGTTGCATATCCCCACCGGCTGCCTTGGATCATGTGGGCGAATGAGGAACACCTGCATGAACTTTGTGGTCCTTGGGGCAGTAGCTATCGGTTTTGGTCGTTTTACTATATCCGTCCCCGCTGTTTTCGGTCGATATGTCACTAAATGGATGGGGCGAGAACACCCCATGATTGCCAGACTCCTGAGGAGCTCTTCATCTCTATTGACTTGTCCTCTCGATCTGAACGCTTCAACACCTGGATGCCTCGCCGTCCGCCGTTTGCGCGAACGGAACGGTCGGTCCGGGGGCCTGGACGGTGCTTCTTGGGGTCACCGGTTCCTTTCTCCAGGCATCAAGGGATGAACCAAAACAGGCCGGTTCAGAACCGGCAGGTATTTTAAGAACCGGTCCATCTGTTCAGTGAACGGATCGAATCAGATCGTATCAGTTTTGGTCGTAGTTTCCACCACTCTTTGGAAGCGATGTTTGACCTTGGCAGGTGGTCCAATGGCCCGGGGAAACGACCGGCATGGCCCCGGGAAAGTCGATGTTCCTCTACAAACAGGGGGTCCTCCAATTCCATGTACTTGGAGGGAGGGTACCTCTGACGTGTTCAACAAACACATACAATATACACACATATACAAACACAGCTTCGCCACACATCTTTGCCCCCCCGCAAAGACCACATAAAACCCCAGACCATCAGACCCATGTATGCACGAAACATTGCGGTGCTTGGGGTCAATGTAGGCATATCTTCCAGTCCCATGGATGGTCCGGGAACTCATAAACCCCATGCACTTCAACCCGGCGCATCCATCGCTTCCGTGTGCCCCAGGTGCCAGCTTCCGTGCCGCCTTGCATGCCTCCTCTGCAGAGGCGTAACGCACTTCGAGGTTCGCGTTCACGCCATTGACGCCGCTCTTGGAGAGCGATTCCAAGACCTCACCTCAGCGGGATGCAGGACCCTAGACGTCCAAAGACTATACGTTGACCGACTGAAGCCAAAGGATATTCCTTTTCGGGCCACTTACAAACGATTCGTTTTGATAGTCTTTGACTCCCAGGGAGGATGCAAACAAGACTGCAGGTGGAAGAATGTAAAAGATCCTTTTCTTCTGTTCGATGTCTTTTTCTAAAACTTACTGGGGCGAGTAGAATCTCATCCCATTCCGATCAACTTCTTGACACTGGGATCTCTGGTGTCAAAAAAGGACCCAGAATTCCATGCCTTTTTGCAGATCACCATGGACCCTAAAAACTCCTGGGTGGTCGATGAGACAAAACCTCTTCCAGGGGTCCATGGACTCATGGTCGGACGCGTCTGCAATAAAAAACACGTGTGCATCAACCTGCGTCCGACCACGCTTGGTCCGACCACGGAGTTCCGCCCAGTCACATGGAACTCGCCGCAAGACATGCGCCTTCACCTGGCCATCGCCCTGTTTGACGTTCCGCACGTCGGGGGGGCGCATGCAAACATTCCCAGGCGTCATGCAGCTGTTTCCTGGGATGAAGCATCCCGTGGAGGTGTAGCCACCTGAAGCACGTTCGAGTGGGAAGAGTTCGGGAAGGCAGCAGGGACGTTTGGTGGTCGCACGTAGTGCACGACTGAACACGGCTGGTTCCGCAGGAGGAACACAGCTGGGCCATGAGGGGAGCTCATGGCCGTGATGAGACGGCCCAGGGCAGGCCCAGTTCTATGTCAACGACACACTGGATTTGGCATGCACAAAGGGTATCAAAGGGTCCTGCCCCTGTTTCAATGCTACTACTGACATGCTTGGACTTGTCTCTGCTTGTCCTGCAGTAGGAGTCTTTAGGGCCTATACATTGGAGCATCACCCCGCCCCGCTTCCCATCACCCAAATTCGTCCAAAGCCTCCAATATCTCAAGTCTCAAGGCTGCCCGCCTTGGGGTCGAGGAGCACCAGGGCCAGGCTGAACTAAGCAGCTCGTCTCCAGTCCCATGGCCAAAGGCTATCGTGTCTTCGAAGCCTGGGAAGACCTGCCTTCGAAAAGGCTGCGAGCACAGTCACTATGCTGTTCGCAGTCACTCTGGCATGCTGTTGGCTGCAGTCACTCTGTTTTCGTCGATGTGCTTAGTGCAGAATCTCTGCGACTTGTAGGTGTCTAAACCGCTTGGGCCCTCTGTGCTTCAAGTCGAGAATTGGGACGTACAATTTCAAGTCACAGGCACAGGTTCCAACATGTTCCAACCATATAGGCCAGCTTCGTTGATTCTGGTTGAAATGTGGCTCTGCAACATGCTTCACCAACCCAACCAACCCAACCGCGTCCCTCTCGTGCTTCTCACGACTCTATCGTGCGCCTCGGGGAGCAGCAGCTGTCGCCGCAGGTAGGCCTCAGCTGTCGGAGTTGGAGTCGCCATCCAGGCCGTGGACAAAACCCCCACTGCCGATGGTCTGGAGCCAAAGCCCAAAGTTAGGATGGGATATGGGATCAGATTGGGGCGTCTAGTAGCTACAAAAGCGTCCGGATTGGAGCTTCAACCGGATGTAGGGATTAATTATTGGCGGAGGACCATCATTGGTAGGGATGGCTCAATCATGTGGGGAGCTACGAATGCTATGGAAGGCTACCATCACTCCATCAGTGGGGACCTTCTCTTACCGGTATGCCCAGGATTCATGACAGGTGACATCAGTGTGGGCACTTGGGAGTGGTATCAGTCTACTGCCAAGTGAAAGTGCCATTCTGGGTTGGCATCGGTTGTTCTCGGACTACTGAAAGAAACTGCAGTTTCCCAACATGCAGCTCTCTATTGTCAGACATGGTCAGCATCTTGAAGAAACTTTCATTGGATGCCTGAGGTTCTGTATCAGTCGTACAGTGAATCCAGTTTCCCTATTGCCATATGGGAGACAGCGACACATGATCCCAAAGTACCTAGACCGCCTAGACCTGGAAACACTCGTTCCATAATCTGTTACTAGTAGTTCGCAACTCAAAGCAGAAGATCTACAGAAAGCGCTTTCGACATGTGTCCCAGGCCTTGGAATTCAGGGACTGATTGCGCATCTCAGCCTCAAGCAGCTGGGGGAAGTTGCCCTTCGCAATGCTCGGGTTGCAAGGGTGGCTCTCTGCCATGCCTTTTTCAGCTGGAAACGCAGGAGTTGAAGGGCTTTTGTCCAGCTAAGTTTGGGGTGGACCTTTCCAGACCGTTCCGTCTTCATCGGGGAGAGGAAAAGCCCAGATTGAAACATCGGCCAAATGATGACGTAGTCTCCGTTCAGAACACTCTCCCCATTGAACATTAAACATAGAAAAAACACTGCCATGACGTGTTTACCCCCCAAAAAATATCTCTCTTGTTTCGACTTACCACGTTCATTTCACAATACCAAAGCAATTCTGGGGCGGACCGTTGGAGCCAATTCCCACCTGGTGCACCAACGTCTCTCCTTTTTCTGGGGCGGAGGACCGCAAGTCGGGCACGTCTGTCCGGGAAGACGCGACTCGCGACATGGGAGATTTCGCGACGACGAGTCGGTACGGACGGATTTCACCGGGCAACTGACCGAGTTCTTTGACGACCCATCCCCGTGAACCTCTAGTCCAATTTTTGAGGACCCTCCAGTCAAATTCCCATAGGGTGCCCCTTTTGTTTTGAGGACCCACTAGTCAAAAACACAAGCTCAACAGGAGTTTCATGGAGTTTCTGTTCATTTTAGAGGGTGGGGTGTGTGCTGTAGATGGTACCAGTAGAATGGATCACAACTTTCCAGACTCTCATGAGACACCCCAGTCGAATGCTTGACGGATGTGGGTTCCAAAGAAACCCAAGTCGCTGCCATCACATTCAGTACTTGAGAACGTGCCCCATGGCCCAAGCCAAAAGAGCATCCCCCCGTATACCGGTCGACCTGTCCTTGTTCGTCTCTCCCAAAACGGTCATCGCTTGGAACGCTCCAACGGTCGCATCCCCCCACCGACCGGTCGCGAAGCTGGTCGCTGTTTGGGCCGAGTGACTGGTCGGTACTTCTCCTCGGGAGTCAGAACGGCGCAGCGCCGAGAGATCGGTTCGCACGAGAGGGAGTAGCGGTGGGTAGCGCGATTTACCATGGAGAAGATACGCTTCAATTCTATATATATATATATGATTTCATATGATTGCAATACAAATGCACGATCAGTATTGGCATACACACACAAATATATATATATATATACACACACTATATTGCATCACACACAGAAGACATGTGGCTGCAAGGCATGCCCTCATTCTTGCAAAGTCTGTGAGCATGGTTGATACAATTGAAAGGAACCACTTGCCACAACGCCGGAGCCAGTCACAGTTTGAGTAGGATCATGCCTGCTTGAAATCCAGCTGCGCAAGGATACTCTGATACCAGCACAGAAAAAGGTCAAAAGGCTACTTCCAGTGAGTTCTATGGAGATTTTCAAGGAGTTCTAAGGAGTGATTGAATAAAGCTTCACCCAAAACACAAGAACACTCTCTCTCCCTGGATAGAAAACCGCTTCAAGTGGCCATCTCGCCCAGTAGTCTCATGCCCTGTCCGGTAAAGAGCCCTGGTGCTCGCAAGTAGGTCTTCGACAAAGCCTGGACTGGCGCGTTTTGCGCCTTTCTCACTGGCAAGAGATGCTGGAGCAAAGGTCTATTCCATCACCACCTGGTGGTCATCTTCGACCCCCCTGACCAAGGTCTTTTCCATCCCAAAAACCACCCGAAATGGGTGGTGCTGGTTTATGTGTGCTTGCATGGAACTGTAGGTGGCATAGGAATTTGAGAAGTTACTGAACCTCCTTTTAAAGGCCAGGAAGAAAACAGTTGTGCGACTGCAGTAGATGGCACAAACAAACGCCAGGATGATGATGATGTTGAGATGGGTTCCGCATCTAATTTCACCTCAACCTGGGATTACACATTCTGCAATAAACGCGGATTAAGGGTATGTGATATTGCTAAATATGTACATATATGTACATACATTACACATCATTACACTACATTGCATTTTAGCATTTTGCATTTGCATAACATAACATAACATACAACATCACACATAATACACCTGGGAAGATTAACATGGAACCTGGAAATGGACCTTTGGAATTTTGGAAGACTATTTTCCTCTACAACCCAGTGGTTTTCGGGTTCCATGTTGATCTTCCAGAGTGTAATTCCTTCATCGAATTCCGAACACCCGGCGCAAACGGCGCCTGTCACCTACACCGAAGTCCTTTCTCACCTCCCGAGGCTGGCCTTGTGCGAGGCATAGCAGGACCTCAAATGGAAGAGGAACAGGATACAGCATGTAGGTTAAAAAGGAGAATGAACATGGAGAAACAATAGATGGTGTATCCTGTAACACATGCATACCTCAAGAACACATGCTGAAGAAACCATAGATATCCATAGATATCGTGTTTCTGCATACCATCGTGTTTTCTTCCCGTGTGGCGAACGTGAAATTCAGGGGCCCCCAAAAAAAGACACATGGAGCCAAACAACCGAGGGAGGTTGCATTCCACCAGTCTTTTTGATCAACACCACCTTCAACATCCATACGACTGAATATTAAAAATTCTTCAGTTTCTGTTCGATGATCCTGAACAATTCAGTTGCTTTGAGAGTGTCTTCATTTCTCGTGATGCATACCACAAGGATGGCCTCCAACCTAATAGCGATGGCCTCCACCGTGCGTAGCATCCTTGTTACTAATTGAACGTTTAATAAAGAATCTTCAGTGCCAAGCAGCGGAATCAGGTATGTCGGGCTATCCTCTCGAAGAGAGGGGCTGGATCGTGAACTCGTGAGACCTCCGTTCAGGATGAACTCATGGAGCTCCGCTGAGATGCACTGAGCGCATTTTGGTCGCGCCAGCACGTTTTTTGTTCTTGTCCTTTTACCAGGTCATGACATGTTAACAATCCACCACTATACTACCCCTCCTACAGGGTGTACCATATGATGCCTTCCTTTGCTCTCTCATTTTGACCCATTTTGCGATTTTCTGCATCTCCCCCCTGACTGGTTCCCAGGCCTGCCATGGCGTCGGCCGTTTTTTGAAAACAGCCAAGCGGAAAGCCACTCGGCCCAATGGGCCCAACGGCTGCGGTGTAGTGGTTTCAGGGACTGTAGCTCTGGTGGATCTAAAAGGATGGTGATCTGAAACACAAGCCCATGACATCTATCTAGGCACCAAATGTTCAGAGATCTTGGCACTTGGAAAGGATGCCAAAACGCCCGCGGGTACGCGAGCGAGCGTACCCGCGGGTAGAAATGAATGTGTTAGTTATGCTTCACAGCTCTTCTCCTTGGGGAGTGCCTTGAGGCCTTGGAGAGTCCTTGGCGTTCACATGCTGCAATTGCTGTCTCATCTTCAGCTTGAGGCCATGGCTCCTTCAAGCGCTCTTTGACCTCTTTTGTTGCTGCCTCCAAAGCAACAACGAGTGACGAAAAACGAGCAACCAGGCCAGCCCGAACAAAAAAAAACTTGAAACAACCAAATCATATTGACCCACCAATTTCCATCATGACCCTGCATTCAGACCCAAAACAACACACACACTGGCCGTGCTGATCGTGCCGTACGACCCTGATTCGTCTCTCAGTTCGACTCGCCTCAGTGATGCTGCCCACCTGACCGGCGGCGCCGGTGGCGGCGGGGGCGCCCAGTACGGTGTACCGCGGCTGATCGATGTTGGTTGATCACGTCTTGGTCAACAAATAGCCTCAATAGCCTTGAGAGACGAAGCGCCACTCTGAAAGTACTGTAGATATTGCAGCCAGAACGAAACGACTGAGGCTCGTGGGTGGGCACCACGAGCAAACCGTTGAACCAAATCACAAACATGCCAAACATGCTCTCTGGTGGTAACACCTTAGGGCGTGTACTTCATTGCAAATGCAATGTTAAATATCGATTGTAGACCTTCATCAACACCCTACCATCCTGTTCCAACATGGCTATGTAAAAATTGAGCACCATCAAACCCTACCAAACCACCAACAAATCCATCTGCGGTCCCCCAGATCTTGATTCTTAAGCAATACCGAGCTTAAGAGGACGCGGACGCGGCTCCTCTCCTCTGCGTGGCTCACCAAGCGTTGATCTGAAATCAAGCACTGCAAGCGCCTGAGGTGCAGGTGTGGTCCCCTCATTTGGGCGGCAAAGGCTGCCAAAAAAGTGCCTCCCCCGCAGCTTAGGCTAACGTCGAACATACTCATAAGCTGAATATTTGGACGATTATGTAGACTCATATGTAATATGTGTATATATATAATAAAGGTATATATGTATACTATATACGCACATGTATATAGTATATATATATGAATCATTCACTCAATCTTCCAAAGATCTTCAGTCTGGGGTTCACTCCCTTCTTGCTCAAGCCTCGCATTTGGGCACACAAAATGCCATGTTTGCACTATTGAACATTCTACAGTCGAGTACTTGTATCATTTTCCAGCCAGCCTTCTCAACACATCTGCCAAACCCACAGGAACAACCCTTCGGCATTGCACGGCACGGACCGACGAGTCCTCGCCTTTGAACTTGCCTCTGGACACTGGCATCCACGTCAGCCAGTGATGCCTGTTCCGCATGGGGCTGCCCAGGTCAGGGGAAAGGCCAGCGACCGTGATGCCCTTTTTGGGTGCACAGTCATCATCTTGCGACTTAGGCATCTCATCTCAGGTGAAACCCATTGTGAAGCAACATGAGAAAAACATACATGATTTACAATTTGCCGTTGGCTCTCTCTCTCTCTCTCTTTTTATATATAATTGAATATTATGGTGTTGCAAAGTTTTGTGTTGTTCATTTTGCGGGCGAACACTTTATCACCGAATGTCACCAAATCATTTGATATGTTTGAAGGATATCGACTTGTCCAATCTGTTTCAAGGCCATTTCCAAGGGCCAACAAAACTTGTCATCCGTCCTTAAACAATGAAAACTGGAACCAATGCTGGGCTGTGGGCGGTGGACTCTGAATCTTTATTGACACATCTACTTCGTTTCCGAGGCCTTGCCCTCAGCCACTGCGGCCAGCGACGCAAAGTCTGCCACGGAGACCTGGAGGCCGCGGCCACGCATCCGCGGAGCATCCAACGAGAACGACACACAGCCGGAGCATTGGTCAAGATCAAGATCGAGACCGGCATGAACATTTGATGTTTTTTTGAACGAACTTGTTTTTTCCAAATATGTTCGATATCGCTTACGTTGATGAATTGTTGAACACAAATTGATCAGTCGACTCTGATTACAAACATATTCTCTTTCAGGTCGCTCTGTTTTCTGCGAGCAAGGTGATGAACAAGATGACTGTGTGTCATCACTCATTTCAACCAAAGCACACTTGGCCAATGTGGCATGGCCTCCAAAAGCACCCGTTGTGAACTGTCTTCACAGTTCTTTTCAACCTCTTCCATCTTCAGCCCATGCAGGGCTCGGGCCAGAGCTTGGAGTCAAAAAGAGACAACTCAGAAAAACGACTCGAGCTTCAAGAGAAACAAATGTGACCGAAAACTCATGGTACTATTGTTGAAACTATATGTCAATTCTAAAGGTTTGGTGAAGCACGGCACATAGCTCTGTTGTGGCCACCGTTGCAGGGCTCCCTTTCAAGCTCTGTTTCACACATATGTTGATTCTCATTTGTGAAACCATACTTGCTGCTACTTCAGTCTTTGAGCGGATCCTTTTCATGTCGGGCGGCAAAAAACAAGCAAAACTAGCTCGACCATCGACCAAACACATGCCAAAATGCTCGCCACTCGCCACTCGCCTTGGAGTCGCAAAGCTTTTGCAACCGGCCAAGGTGTCCTTCTTCCTTGCTCCATGCCTCTGAGCCGAAGGGGAATACATATCGTCGGCCGTTCAAGACATGCGGCCTTCAGCCGTTGCTTAAAAACCCTTATATCTTCCATCTGTGCCACAAGCTTTCCACTAAATATATCTAAATACTAATTATTGCTACCACATGTCAGACATCGACGCGACTCTTTCGTCATGCATTTCCAAGGGTTCGGCCGAGTCACGATTCATGTTCACTGCCCATGTTCACTGCCCGGAGTCATGACGCACCCAGCACATAAAGCCTCTTAAGCATCCCATTGCATCCCATTGCACCCTTGAGTCGACCATGTGGGTTTGGCCCAGCATGCGGTTCACGCTTCTGCCACACAGGTGCAGGATGGGCACATGAGCGACCCCCGCCACCCGGGTGCAACCCACGGCCTCGCGGACGATCTCCTCCCCGCTGCGCATCGAGCGAAATCGTTCGAGGTCGCGGATCACATGATGCGCCTCCGACGGCGCCTCCTGCCAACCACCCTAATTCATCCACCTAAAGTGAAATTGTGCCTCGCCGTTGATTCGAGGACATGCCGCTTGGATTCGCCTCTTCACGGCTTGCGGGCTTGGTTTTTTGTGGACACCCCTGTTGAACCGACCGGACACCCCTGTTGATGTCGTCAGGACGCCCCCGGACGGTCGGGTCCGGACCGGACGCCTCACCTGGCGGAGGACCGGATTCCACCATCGATCCGGCATCACAGACTGACCTGTGCATTCCAACAAAACCAGATATACTGAGCTCCACAATATACCGAGTTAGCTGCAGCGAGCTTATTTTCACTTTTTTTCACCGGTGCCCTGCGGTGCCGCCGAGTGAGTAAGTGAGTGAGTGAGTCTTCGCATGTCTTCGCTATCGTCGTCCTTGAGCTGCGAAGAGTTGGCCTTCTCCTGCCACCCCGCTCGCTGCGCGACGAGCGGAACGAGTGGAACGGGGGGTTCGTGTCGCGACACCTCGGACCCGCTTCGGACCCGAGGAACGAAGTCGAGAACGAGGACGAGCTGCGCGAAGGACCTCGAAACGGACCCCAAAAAGACCATTCCTTTTTTTGAGTCTTTGACTCAGGGATCAGCCGGCGATGTGTTCAACATTCCAAGTTCACGGCGATGTTTGGTGTGGGGTTGAGGCAAGCAAAAGGTTGATATAGTACATCTATATCATCTACATACAGGACCCGCCGCTTTTTGGGAAGCCTTATGAAGCCTTAACCTACAAACCCCCGCAGCACCCTGAACCATTTTTGCCCCAAATGTCTAATCAATCCCCCACTCGCACCTTGCGGCAAGTCACTTGCTCACCGTTACCCTCCAGAACCACGGAAACACCAACTGATCAGTTGCCCTCTGTCGTACCACCTGGAGCCTCCATCAAGGGGGTGTTGTGAGCCACCAGGACCAGCAGTTACGTGGCTCGCCACCACCAGGACCGCCACCTCCAGGCCGCCCTGAAGCGCATCCACTCGCTCCGCCTGAGCGGTCGACCGGCAAGGCGGATGTGGACGTGGTGAGCCTACATGGCCCCACAGCAAGCTACATGGCCCAGGTGGGTGATTCAGGTGAATGAAGGAAACCCATCAGAACCAGGGACAACAAGCTCCCAATCGATTTTTCAGCAATTATATACAATAATAGCCTATACGGCTACGAACGTTGAAAGTCATCCCAAAATGATGGATGGCTCAGCAGGTGCGCGGTACCAAGTGCCATTGGAAAATACCACATGATACTACCTCTCGCACATCGGTCCAAGTCGACGTCATGCCCGGACACTCTGGTCCGGACATGGAAATTCCCCACTTTTTGAATCATTTTGATACATTTAGCATTTCTCTGCACCATAGGCTCTAGTCACTGCCCGCTTTCCTGGACAAGAATCCATTTCAAGGCATGGCTATCCTCCATCTACTCATTTGCATCCGACTTGGGGCATCTGTACTCTGGACTTGAGGCCCCGCACCAGGCGCCTCACCTGGTTCCAGGGGGTGAATTCCGCGGGCTCAGCTCGGAAGAGTTGGCACATTCGGCACACTGCAGTAAAAGCCACAGCCAGGTTTAAAACAGCCAGGACCAAGATCATGCGAACCCATAGTTTCATGCAAGCGCCACCCAATGCTTCCTCCCAGCCAAGCCCCAAACGAACCTCAAAATAGGCTCACGACTAGAGGCTCATAGGCTATAAGAGTCTCTTGACCTCCACCACCCCACGAAGCCCGGTGAAACCACGTGGAGCTCGCCATGATCTTCGCCAGCGCCACGGAGCGCCCTTCCTCGCGACCGCTTCTTTCGCTTCTCAGCGACGGCTCCAGAGCACGGGCCGCGGCAGGTTCTGAGCCGAGCAGAACGTGTGTGGCGGGCTTCCACCAGAGAGCCGACAACATATGAGCTATTTGCAGCTAACAATCAGGGTTCCAAAAAGGAAAAAGACCTGGACCGACAAAGGCGTGCACCTGAAAGCCTGTCGATGACGGTTTCGGGGAAACCCGAAGCAACGTCGTCGAAGGTCTGCGTCGAATCGTCTGCGGCACTGGTTCTTCGGCTGACTCAGCAGTTCCCCTTGTTTTCGCCTCCTTTTCTTCCAGACCAAACCCACAACGCTCCGACAGAAAAAAGGGGTTCAGCATGGGTTCAACATGGGTGAAAAACATGGGTTCAAGCCGTCTGTCCACCTGTCGACCTTTTTCCGATTCGGAGGGTCTTTTTAGTATATATGATAGAGTTTTCAACAACGCCCCCCAAACGACTCCAAATTACTGCAAGTCATGTTGACGGTTGATTGATATAGTCTGATGTACAATATCATCATTTCTCAGGCCTGGAAATGTAAAACCTTTTCCTGGAGACGGACGGCTTTTCCTCATCAGCAGTGTACAAGTGGCCAAGGTTCCAATAAATGCTCCATGATGAGGGTATTCTTAGATTGCGAAACAACATCCGGAAGGGGTTTCCAACAACCTGCGCAACAGGTTAGTTGGATCTAATGTGACCTCATTAAATAGTAGTTGGACATGTTTCACACTCTCCAAACGTCGTCCGCATTCTCCCAGAATTGGTTTAAGGGAACATCCACTACAGGAAAGCCATATTTAATCATAGTTTTGGGGGTGACCACATGGCTCTACTGCAGATGTTCCCTTAAACCAATCCATTGACAAACCATGACAAACCCGTTCACAACAGCCGCTGTTTTAAGAAAGGCGCCGGCGCTGGTGTCAGACCTGGAAGGTCATCACTGGATCTTCACCTCGTGTGGAGGCTCTATCCGGTGTCTCGACCGCTGAGGAAATGCTTCGAAAGGGACGAATGAGTGACTCATATCCACCCTAAATATACAATGAGGTATTTCAGTCAAAATGTTTTGTTTTGTCATGAAGAGTCTACTTTATGGTTCTTTTCGCCTTTTGGGAGGGAGGGGACAATGGGAAAAGGATGGTTCTAAGACAATTTCTGTTGTATGTTGCCTTATCATCCCTACCTATTAAGGGGGGGACCCAAAAATGTATCTGTGGTGGGCATGGAAACTGAACCTTAACCAGGCAAGCGAACAAAAACATGTAGGCGACATTTGTCTTTATGAGCCTAAAATATGTAACCCTCAAAGACAGGAAGACAAACTCCAATCCCCAGCCCCCTTTCCTAATCCCCAGCCTACAGCTCCCCATCTCCCGTTGCTTTGGGTTAGGCGTCTTGGAAACCATCGAAATACAATAGCAGGGCCCAAGAAAGTTCAATCATGTACCTTTTCCATCCTTTTGTGCAGCCACTAAACCCAAATCCCCAGCTCCCACCCTCAAAGACAGGAAAATGTAAGCTGTCTTGGGTTAGGCAAACCAGAACACCATAGAAATACAATAGAAAAAGCCACGGGAAGCTTCCAAGACAGGGTGCCACCATTGTTTCGGGCATTGTCAATTGTTTTCACAATGCTTCTTACATCTTCTTACTTACTTTGTCTTGGGGGGTCAAGAAAAGGTAACTTAGGACGTGGAACGTTCTAAGTTACATTTTCTCCAACCCCCCTATAATTCGTAAGCATGCTGACACATGCCTGCCAGCCACCTCCTCATTTCCTGGTGCGAGCAAAACTCCAGGGAAGGGGGGGCCATGAATATGGCCTCTACTTAATTAACTAGGGCAAAAAACGGGGTGGTCAACATACATTTATGGGTTCCCCTCAAAATTGTAAGTTACATTTTTTGTAAGGTCCCCCCTAAAATCGCTAAAATGGTACCTAAAGGGGTAGGGATGCCTTATCTGTTTTTCTGTTGCTGTTCAAAATTTGCATATAGTCCAAGTCAAAATCTCACAGTTCAAATCATCACCTCGCAAATCCAATGAGAAACTGCGCTCAGGAAAGAATGGATCGAGGAAAAGAGGAATTTCCAAAGATCTGGGTTGGCTCAATCGGAAGAAATCTTATAAGACACGTCTCGCCTTGTTTCTGTGTTTTGTGCCAAACGACGTGATGGATCGTATGAGCCCTCGTCAAAGCGCGCAAAAAAAAGACAAGTAAAAAACGGGCGGATGGTCCAATATGGTCCAGCCCAGACGCCAGGCTTGGGCACCAGCATCAACGCCAATCTCCTTTGCTTTGACTGGGTCTCCAGTGTCGGGCGGGCAGCCAAACACACCACAATGGCATCGGCCATGAAGGTACCTCAGGACCATGCGTACGCAGAAGGACGGATTGGCCAGCTTGGAATCCTCCGAACCAAGCTTCACCAATCCAAGCTTCCGCTCACCGCCGCACTCAAACAAACTTCCCCACTTCCGCGCTGGTCACACCCAAAACGATCAAAGCCCCTTTTGCGGCGGAAATCCATGCTCCCACCATCTCCCCACCGAGACTCGCCCCCGCCGTCGCGCGCCGCGCCCCGCGCCGCGAGGTCGAACGAAGGAGGCGCCGTACTTCACCACGGCCGACAGCTCCGGGCGCTCGGCGCCGAAGTCGTCGCAGCTGTCGATGCACAGCTCCTCGCCGTCGCGGCGTCACGGCCGTTTTTCGACGGTCGCGGGTTCGGGGTGTTTTCGGTGGGACGAAGAAGTCCTACACCCTACAACCCACACACGAGCCATGGGACTGCCATATGCCGATCAATTGGGGTGGTGCCAGGGGGGTCAATGGGGCGGCATATATGGCAGTCCCATGGAGTGCCTGGGTAAGTCTCTTGAAACAAATCTTAGAAGTTCAATGAAGTTCATTGATGATCAATTATATAACGGATTATAACAGATTTGCCGCATTTGGGAAGAATCAATCCCACAATACAACCTAAGAATGCCTAAGAGTCCAGGGATCGCCACTGTCACGACCCAGGCCTGGTACAAGGTGTCCTCATACTGCGCCTATGTCACAAGTTGCGAACATCGAGCAGTGATGATGACACCCGCCACAACCAAAAGTCCATGTCTCTCTCGGGTCAGGGCCGATGAAGTTGCCAAAGGCTTGTAGATATTGATCTATCAGCCCCCATGTGTTCTCAACATGTTTCAAGGGGATTCTTGGGTGGATTGTTAGGTGACCTCTCCTCATTTGGGTGGTCTTCTTGCAGTACCAAGGCCCTGCCTTGGCAGTGGAGAGCAAATGGGCAAAGGCGCGTTCGGCTCGCTGTGGCTCCAAGGCTTTCTTGATGACATAGATCTTCCTAAGGTCAGCCATCGCCCGGCGCGACCCCCCAAGGGCAGAAGCGATCCCGGCCCCCTCCCCGACCGGGTAGTGTCACTGACGATGTCCAGATCTAGAGGTTTCTGATGGTGTTTGTTTTCAGCCCATCCTCTGACAACTGAGTGAACTGGATGCCAGGGTGCTGAAGATAGCCTACATCCATGAGCCAGTCACCATCTTCATATTCCAGATTCATCTCATAAGCAGGTCTCGGTACTTCTGTTTCCATACCCAATTGGAAAAGGCCTCCAACTTTTCTAAAGGGGCCAGCGAATGAGAATGACATAAGAGGACCATTCTGAGACGTCATGCAGTGATTCCAAAGCATAGTCAACCCCTTCACCAACCCTTATGTTAGCAAGGGGTTGGGGAACTCCCCATAGCTCCTTGACTCCCTGTTTCATGGGGAAGAACTGGATACCCTTCTGTTGCTAGGATAGTAACTAGGACCAAAATGGCCCAAGACTGCCTAAGACATCAAAACGTCTTTCAGCTCATTCAGCATCTCTCTCGTTGAGATGAAGTAAAACCATGGACGATACATAATACGCTTTGCATGCTCTTACACATTGCCGGATTAAGTCGCCGGATTATTTGGAGAAACTCCGCATCAGGGAACCCGAGATCTGGAAAAACTGCTCAGCTATCCTCCATCTGGCTTTGGCTTGCCGTGATCATTGCAGCTGCTTCTTCAATTTTTTCCAGACTCCGTTTGAATTGTATTTCTATGCTTTTCTGTTTTGCCATAATATGTCATCATGTCTTTGCCCTCCTTCTTTTCCAAGCAGCTCTTCCAACCCCTCCCCTCCGTTTAAACCCCACTCCACCCAAGCTGCCCAGGGATCACGTTGAAGGGCCTCCCAGAGATGGGCAGCATCTGCTCGCCCGGTGCGGAGCGCGGCAAAAAGCCGTTGCTGCGCGCCAGCGCGGGGCAGACCTGGGTGGCAGCGCGTATGGTGGCACTGCCGGTGTACCGCGTGGAGGACACAGACCTGTGGTGGCTTGGGAGTGGTTGGTGGGTTGACTGCGTAGCCGATTGAGATCCAAAGGTTGCGAAAGGGAGCAAATGCACTGGAGCAATAGCAGCTCGGAAGGGGGAAGACATCAACACATGGCACCATTGGAGTTCTTGCACTATGCTTCACTCCCTGGTGGACCACTTACACGAGCTCTCCAAGAGAACGAGCCTGGAGTTGAGTGGGGTCCGCAGCGTGGTCGCACTTCCTGAACCGTCCACTTCCTGAAACCAACATACTGGTTGAACATATGCTTGGGCTGCAGTTTTCCCTTTTGTACAGGAACACATG